CGAAACTAGTTCGGTATCCAATCGAATGGTGGAAAGACTAGAGGAGATGATATTGTGGTCTGATGTCGATAGCGGCGCGTTAGGGGAAGGATCAGCGATACAATGCTCATTCGATAAAATGAGATCGATAATTTTCTCTTTTCTAGTTGGAAATGTGACCCATTGCTGGAGGGAAAGGCTCTCGAACGCCGCTAGGAACCTTTGGGCGCCAGCATTACAGGCCACACCGGTCTCCCAATCAATGTCAATCGATTTTGACGAATTTCTATTCGACTCTCTTTAAATCTGGCCACGGCATCTCCACTGAACAGATACCTATCGGAGAAATGGTGCCATCATTTTTAACATCAGAGGTTCGTCACGCAATCGAAACAATGCCGAAAGGAAGAGCCCCTGAAGCTGACGGATTATCCTTGGAAGCCCTACAAGCATACAGACATAAAATTCACTGTGCTTTAGCCCAACGCTTCACTCGCTACGTCAATGACTGCAAAGCACCAGACGCATGGAGAAAATCCAAGACAATTCTGCTGTTCAAAAAAGTAGACAAAAAAGACTTGAATAATTATCGACCAATTACGCTCCTGATGGTGATATACAAAGTGTTTACACGTTGCCTCCTCGCTCGAATAAGGAGGAAACTTGATAAAGCCCAACCGGTCGAACAGGCAGGATTCCGGCGGAAGTTCAGCACTTTAGGCCACATCATTACTTGCTGTTGAATTATTGAAGCTGCTAGAGAATACCACGAACCGCTGATACTAACACTCATCGACTATCGGAAAGCACCCGATTCAATAGAACGAGAAAAGATATGGTCGGCTCTTAACGAACAAGGTATCGATCCCCGTTATACGAAAATCTTAAAGGAATGCTACTCAGGCTGGCTGTGTAGCAGTGTTCCGGCCGTTCTTCTGCGACCTAGAGGTGACTGTGGAAAAAGCAGTCCGTAAAGAAGACCCTATCTCCCCAAATCTTTTCGCTGCATGCCTCGAATACACCATACGTCACTGCGGGGGCATGGGATTCCAAAGGAATCAAAATCAACGGAAGGTATTTAAGTCACCTGAGATTTGCGGACGACATAGTTCTCATTTCGAGAACATCGGATCAAGCTTCTCAAATGTTGAATGACCTACATACAGCTGGTATCAAGGCCGGTTTGAACATCAACATGAAGAAAACGAAATGCATGAGGAACGAATACTCAGATCGCAATCCTGTTTACCTACAAGCCCCTTTAACCCTTAGAGGATGTCGATGAATACGTGTACCTTCGCCGACTACTTAACATGAAAAATGTGTTGGGAAGGGAAAAAGCCGGCTGGGCTGCGTATAATTCGATTAGAAACGTAATCGAACATACCAGGGACGACGAATTGCAAGCAACTCTGTTTAACTTTACGGTGCTACCAGCCCTGAGCTACGCAAGGATGCAAATATCCCTCGAGCGCCGAGTGGTCGGGATAACCTTGCATCAACAAAGGCTCAACAGGCTGCACAACGAAGACATGCGTTCGTTGTTTTAAGTTCGCGATATTATTCTGCACATCGACAAAGCAAAGCACACCTTTGCTGGACACCTGATAAGGCGCGATGACGGTCTTTGGAGTACAACAAGTGTGTGCTGGGTAGCACGCGAGAAGAAACGGCCTCGTGGTCGACCTCCTCTACGATGGCAAGACTCTCTTGCTCACAGAAACAATATCTGCGATTCTAATTCAATTAAGGTATCAGTCCACTGGACGACTGGCTCAATATAGAAAATCGTGGAAGAGAAGTTGGGACACGCGCAAGAGCAATTGCAGCTGATACGGGTCGCGAAGTAATCCAAGTAATCCAAGTAATATATATATACATATATATTACATATATATTAAAATAATATAATATATATAATAACAATATAGGTTATATATAATATATATATAATATATATATATATATATATATATATATATATATATATAT